TATAATCCAAATACATAGTAATATATTTGTAACATTTAATATAGGTTAGAGATTAAAGCAGTTTCTCTGTAAGTATGCCAATAGTAAGGTCATTACTAGGGTACTCATACTTGAATTAAAATTTGAGATCTGATGATGTGATGGTACTAATACTTGAATTAAAATTTGAGATCTGATGATGTGATGGACCATATTTTTATATACTTATTGATTGCTATACCTAAAATTCTGAATTTTGTTTTTTAATAAATGGCTACTAGGAATATACTAGTTACCACAATTTGTGTGTGTGTGTGTGTTTGTGTTTATGTAAAGGAATATTTTAGGACAGTGACACTTTTATTTTATGCCAATTGAATTGTAAAATAATGCTCAAATTTTTTGGCTTTCCCTGTTTTCAGAGTTCTCTTATAGCTATAATAATAGTCTTTAATATTAGCTTACTATTTTCAATATTTTTCAGATACTGTTTCTTAATATAGCATACTATATAACATTCTTGATTTTTTTTTAACTAAATGTCACTATTAGACTAATTTCTGACAGTACTTGCAGGAAACATCTTTGTTCTTTGAAACAGAAAATTACAATATTAAGAAAGTTGGATAGAGAGACCAGTATGCCTGCTTAGGAGCAAATGGTTTAAAGCAAAAATAGACCTTATTCTGTGACTTGAATAAGTTACCTAGAAGAGTACAATTATAATCTAAAAATATTCTAAATTGTTAACAGTTTTTAAATTTGAAATATGTGGAGATATCACTTTGAGTTTTGAAGTTCTGATTTCTCTCATGTCATATCTAGCATTATTAAGCCAAGTTACTTTTATTCTCTATGGCTTAAGATGATACAAATATTTTTACGGTGTCATTTATTCTCTACTAACTATAATAGCTAATATCATTATTTATTATATGCTGCATATTTCTAAGACCATAATAGCTAATATCATTTAGTCCTTACATAAGCATATGATAATAGTACTTTTTTTTCCCCATTTTTACAGATGAGAAATTAAATAATAAAGAGGTAATTGATTTTTTTCAAGGTCACACAGCTAGTAAGTATTGGATCCTTGATATAAACATAGGCATTCTGACTTCAGGACCCATGCTTTTAACCACTTTGTAATTCATTGTAAGCCTAAATCAACAGATTCTGAGGCAGAAAAAAATTAGCCTGCATTTTTCACAGGGTTTTAAGAAACAGTCTATTGCAGGTATATTCAGAAAAGATAAATGCAAAAAAATCCTATTGGTAACAGCAAAATGCTAATAAAAAGTAATTAGTAATAGGTGAGTGGATGGTTAGAAGCATATTTAACCATAAAGTGGAGTACTGTGCCAAAAAGGATAAAGATTTGTATATAAAACTTCAGAGTGATTTTCAGAATATAAATAAGACAGAATAATATAGGACTGTTCCATATGAATTTCCCACAGACATCTCAGATTTAGTATATCAGTAGCACCTCATTGTTATTATTTGTACCAGAACTGTACCCATTTAACCAAAAGTGAAAACTATGAGCAATGCAAAACTTCTTCACCTTTGGTCCACTATTCAATTGTTTTTCTCAATACAATAAGTTCTACTTTGAATTTTCTCTTGATTCTTTTCCACACTTCTTAACCCAGGCTGATAATGGCATTTTTCTGCATAAATTTTTCAAAACTATCTCATCTTCCTCACCTTGATTTAGACTTACACTGCAGACAACAGGGCTGAGAGTATGGATCCTGAAGTCAGAGTGCCCATCTGTATATCATGACTTCAGTACTGACTAGTTGTGTGACTCTTTGGACTACAAATACTCCAGTTTAATTTTGAAATACTTGTGGGGTCCTTTACACAATAGTTATACCATTATATGTTAATAACATGCATAATGATAGAGCATTGTTTATACTTAATATTTGTATTTAATATATGTAAATGAGTTATTATTTAAAAATTCCTTCTTATACTGCCTCATGTCTCCATCATCAGAGCAAAAAAGGAAAAATCTACAAGGATTCTTATGGGTTGGGACCACAACCACAGCTGTATTTTATACCATAAATTCTATTCAGACCCTTCCCTTTTCTCCTCTATTCTGTATAGAAATTTTTTTCTTTTTTTAAAGAGAGAGAGAGAGATTTTTTTTTTTTCTAGTTTTTGGCAGACACAACCTCTTTGTTTGTATGTGGTGCTGAGGATCGAACCCAGGCTACACGCATGCCAGGCAAGCGCGCTACCGCTTGAGCCACATCCCCAGCCCATCTGTCTAGAAATTTAATCAAGAGTTTTCTATAACTTAATTTAGAACAATTAGATACTAAAAGATTTCTTTAAAAAGCTATAGTCTGCCTCCCCTAGCCAGACATTTCTACTTGCTCAGAGGTGACCACTTGTATTGCCTTGAGCTGATGTGTATGTGACTTTGTCTCTTTAATTAATACCTTTGCATTGTTCCCTCATGACATTTATTGACTTTGCACCTCCTCTTTAGTTTCATCTTCAAAAAGTTGTGTTCTTGTTACATCAGATTTTTTGTGTTTTTTAAATTTGTTCTTTTTTAGATAATGCATGACAGTAGAATGTATTTTGACATATTATACATACATGGAGCATAGCTTATTTTAATTAGGATCCCATTCTTAAGGTTTTACATGATGTAAAGTTACACAACATTCCACATCAAGTCTTGTATTTATATATAAGGATAGGAAAGTTATGTCCAATTCATCCTACTGTCTCCTATTCCCATCTTTTACATCAGTTTTTAATGTTTACTTTAAAATTCATATTATATATATATATATGCATTTATTTATTTTCAGAGCTGAAATGTGTAGTTAGCTGTAATTATTTCTTTTTCTGTATAATGTTTTTGTAGTTTCTGAAATTAGTAATTATCTTTTTTGGTATAAGAGTTTGTATAAACTAAACTCTCTGACATGTCTTAGCTCAATGTTTAAACACATCAGGTGTTCTATTATTCAGTTTTCAAGAAGTTTCTTCCAGAGCCAAACTGACTCTCTACTCCTACCTCTCTTCTTTTCCAGGATTATAGTTTTTCTTATATGTAGTATTCTGTAGTTTTACGATTATGTTCCTAATGTGGCTTATAAGTTTTTATTTCTGGTATTGATGGCATTTTACTCTAGAAGAAATCTGTTTTAGACCTTTACAGAAAATACACTTATGTTTCTCTCCTGAAGCAGTAGTGGGTTGCCCAGATGTGAGAAGTTCATCTTTCTGGGGATCAAACCTGTAGGCAAGTGCTGTACAGCTGAACCATATCTCTTGCCCACACTCTTTATTTCTTAAATAGACTTTCAACCAGTCATCTTCTTTCTTGTCTTTATTTTCAGTCCTTGTTTTCTTTCTTCCAATTTTTAGCTCCCCATTTCTCTTTTCTAAAAGTTTGTAATTCTACTAATTCCTGTGTTTTCAAGGAGAGAGAAGATATGAGGTGAATTTGATTGCTTCTCAGCTTTCTCCATTGCCATCTTAGGACTCGGCTCTCTCTGATCTGATAGGTCAATTTCCTCTTTAATTCTTCTCTCCTGCTTTCATCTTTCATCCCCTTCATGTTCTTAAACTTATGTCCCCATGCCTCGAACATCTTTTTACAATAAATACTACAATAGTTTTACTGAGGTTTCAGAAGGAAGGAAGGGACATTAAATGAGTATTAAACAATTAACATATAGCCTTATTTTTCACTCACAGATAAATAGAGTGTCTAGTGACATCTACCTCTGATACTCTGCCTACTAGTCTACATATTTTCCTAGTTTGTCTCTTTTCTCTCTAGACTTAATTTTTAAAAAAATAACATTTATTGAGGTCAGATTTAATTTTTTTGAATCTTATCTCCTCTCTCAGGATTTGGTATCTTATTCCTGGATCACATCTTAGATGATATAGTGCATGGGCCACAGAAAGTTATATATTTTAATATTCTGGGTGGCATTCTCTTCACTTCTGACTCCAAATTAAAGCATATTGTCAACCATTTGTGCTACTTGCTTACCTTGGGAATGTTTAGAAATGCAGGTCATGTTTTTGACTGTATAGTATTTGGAGCACACTGTTATCACTTAATGAGCAGGGACACTGGAGGGGCTAAAACCTCTTTAGTGCATGGAATAGTTATGCAGAGTAGTAGTGATCTTGAAAAGCTCTGCTGGAAGTCACAAAGGAAACCTGGCTCTGCTCTGAGGGTAGTACTTCTCAGTCCTTGTCTGTTTTCATTCCCACCGCATAAGTTGGGCTGGAAGGATAGGGTAGAAGTCCTTCTTGGTCCTCATTGCTGCTTCCTGACCCCTGTCTTTCTTACTCTGAAAAAAATAAAAATAAAAGCAACAAACAGAAAAAAAATTGTACCCCACTACTGAATTTGATACCTATCCATTTTGTTACAGAGGGAACATCTCACTATGAAAATAATTTAATTTCATGTATTTATATGCAAGGGTTATACAACTAATAATATTTAAAAGAAAAAATTTGATTTCTACTTTAATAAATATGTAGTATATATACAACCTACTCCTTCAGCTTATGGATAAACTAATGTAGATTTATTTTTGGACTGTGAGAATTGATGTTAAACTTTGCCTTTCGCCATTAAAAACTGATGGTTTTTAAATGCCTTTCTGCCTGTGTTAGTGCAACATTTTCTAAGGATTATTTGTTTAAAATAGAAGGGTAAGAATTATCTTAACAGCATGCTGCCTATATTATCACAGTGTGATATTATCAAATATAATTCTGTGCAAGATTTTTAGATGTGTCTAAATATTATATACCTTTTTAAATTGAATTGCAGTTTTTAATAGATCATTTTGTAAAAGTGTATCTAATGCCAGGATGTAGCATACCTCATGTACTTATATGTTTTCTCAAATTATGTGTATGATATTTAATGTAGTACTTTTTCTTTTCTGTCTTTTAAAAGAAGCAAATGACTTGCAGCATTGAATTTACCAGTGTGCCTTTCTGATTTTTAGGTTGTGGAAAATGCCCTTAAAGTGAACCCAGTATTAGGTCCACAAATGTTTCAACCAATTTTACCCAGTGTTTTCAGGGGTATTATAGAAGGGGAGGTAAGATTTTTCTTAATCTTCTAAGGATAGTAATTGGACTCCATGGTTCTAGTTTTCATTTTTCTCCTTCATTGGAAAATCATTTCTTTCTCACTGATAAATGTAAAAGGAAAGCTTTTCTTATTTAGATCATATTAAATTAAGTGCATTTTCAGGATAAGTTGTGCACCTTTAATTTTTCAAACTTTCCCACATAGACATCTTTTGACATTTCTTTCATTCATGTATATGTGTATTCACCTACAATGATTTGAAGTAGAGTAAAATTTAGTGACTTAATTCTAGTACCTTACTATTGAGAATATGGGGAAGGGGGATAGTGCTAATATTGTTATGGACTGAGTGTATGAAACTACAGGTATACCATTGATAAATAGTCTTTCTTTTTAGTATACCTCAATATATGCATAATATATATTATAAAATCCATATAAATATATATAAATATTTTCCAGGTATTATGTATATCTGATAATTTTGTGTGAACTCAGTCAATGTTAGCAGTTCATTCTAAAGAGAAGCAATATGAAGGAGAATTTTTTTTATATTCCTATTGACTGTTACCATATCAGTGATTGTTAATAATTGTACTTATAGCTTAATACAATTTTTCATTTGCTGTATTTTAATTGCACAGAGGTATCCTGTAGTGATGTCCACATATCTTGGAGTTATGGGCCGGGTCCTACTACAAAATACTAGTTTTTTTTCTTCACTTCTTAATGAGATGGCACATAAATTTAATCAGGAGGTAAGAATTTTATGCAAACATTTATCCAAATATAAATTGAAAATAGTTGATGAAATAATGAGTCTTTATAATAAAGTTCTTTTGAAGCATTTAAATGTTTACATTTCTATCTTTCGAATATTTTTACCTGTTATTTGGGGTAAAAGAAAGAAAAAATTTAGTAAATTGCAATTTAAACTTTTACATTTTGATTTTGCTCAAAATAGGTGATTTTGTTTTGTTTAGCCTTAGAACTTTCAGTTGTTTATGGTTACAGTCTTCTTTTACTGTTAAATAATCTGAAACAGAACTGTTTTGCATGTATGTATATATTGTCTGTTTCATTCTTTCAACAAACTTGTTTTAATACCATGGATTGAGAAAGTTTCTGTCCTAAATATTATGAAAAATGGCCTTTTTAGTTAAGACTTATTAAACAATATCTTAACTTAAACCAACTACCAGGATAAAGATGTAGAGGATAGAGTGCATTTGATATTTCTAGCATTGAGACAGTTTATGAAATATTTTGTTTATCACTGAAACAAATATAACTAATTTCAGGAAATATATTCATAAAAGAAATATAAATTTTACAGTATATATAGTTTTTGCTAGAATTAAACTAATCAAATTAGGAATTCCACCCAGCCTTTGTTGTTATGAATAGATAGTAAAGATTTTTTCATTAATTTTTTTAATTGGATAGAGATAATATTACATAGTTATATAGTTAAAACAGTTTATATTCTTTTATGATTAATGGAATATGTGTCCATATTGAATAGGATGCATATTGCAGACCTTGAAATCAAATTGGATACTTGCCCCTTAATTTTCTCTTCTACTTAGATGTGAAGTTATCACAGAGAGGACTTTAGTGTTACAATTCTTGAGGCTACTAGTTCTTGAAGTATCTGACAATTGAAAAAATAATTTAAAAAAAATTTTTTTAATTCACTGTGGCATTTCAGGGTACACTGCACACAGTTTACACTGAAGTATAAATAATGGTATATACTAATATGTGTTTTCTTGATTATTATAAATATTTTGTTGAAGCATTTCTTGGAAAAAATGTAAGAACACTAAAATACAAAAGAATGAGACTATAAGGTTCATTTTACGAGATCAAAGCCATGAGGTAGAGATTCTGGTATTAAATATACATTTTTAAAGGTGCTAAAAGTGGAAAAACATATAAGGAAACCCTGCCGGGGATCCTCTTTAAATCTACATGATAGTGCACTTGATTACATGTTACTTTGTAAGTGTAATTAATTGTATTAGTGTGGGAGGCGGTTTGGGCTGGGGTTGTGGCTCAGTGCAAGAGCACTTGCCCAGCATGTGTGAGGCACTGGGTTTGATTCTCAGCACCACATATAAATAAATAAAACTTTAAAAACTTAAGTAAAACTTAAAAAAAAAAACTTAAAAAAGACATTTATAATTGCAGGGGCTGACAAATCTGATAAATAGAAACTGAAGCAGGATTTCTATGTTGCATTCTTGAGGCAGAATTTTTTTGTTTTTTGTTTTTGTAAAAAACTACATTTTTACTCTCAAGGCTTTCAACTAATTGGCTGAAGCCCACCCACATTATCTAGTATGGTCTCTTCATTGTAAGTCACCTCATTGTAAACCTTAATGACATCTACAGAATACCTTTTCAGCAAAAGCTAGTTTAGCCTTGGACCAAATAAATGAGCAACTTAGCCTAGCTGATTCATCACATAAAATTAATTACCACATGATTCTATATTATGTTGTTTTCATTTAGAGAATAACTGTCCTAGGATATATTGTTTGTTTTCCTTTGAAATTCTGCAATTTAGCTTACAACCTGCTTGTCCTTTCCTCTGAAAGTAGTAGCAAATCAGTCTGGCAAATTATAGAATGTTAATAATAATCATCCAACTGAATAAGTACCAGTTGATAATTTTGAGAAATATGTGTACTTTTTAGTGTACTAGGAAGTATGTATTTATTGGTGATTTATTAAGTTATTAAAGTCACTCATTGGCCACATACAGATTTTTAATAAATCTCTTTAGCTCTCAGGATTTATTAGAGTCAATTTCTGGTTTTGCTAAATTATTCCTTTCCAGGTTAAGGCATGCCCCAAAATCAGATATTGCAGTTCTGTGGTTTGTTATAATTTAACTTTAACTAAGATTTAGGAAGTTTTAGCCTTTAACAGTACTTATCCATGATTAAATAGAATTTCAAATATTTTGAGATGCTGCCTTTTTTTTTTTTTTTTCTTTTCTTTTCTTTTTTCAGATGGACCAGCTTTTAGGAAACATGATTGAAATGTGGGTTGATCGAATGGACAACATTACCCAGCCTGAAAGAAGAAAGCTTTCAGCTTTGGCTTTGCTTTCTCTTCTGCCATCTGATAATAGGTAAGAAAATGTTTTCTTAAAATTGTTTTTTTTTTTTTTTTTTTTTAAACATCAAATGTAAACTCAATTTTCGGCCATCAGTAGTGCCTTGTGTTGCTGGGCAGTGTTGTTTTTATGAATGTAGATGATAATTTTATCAGCAGATAATGATGTGGAAAGTACTGATCTAGAAAGGAGAAAATGGAACACCTTTTTTTGTTCTTGTTTTGGGTTTTTTTTTTTTTTTTTTTTGATACTGGGGATTGAAGTGGGTGAGCGGTGGGAGTTTAACCACTGAGCCACTTTCCCAGCCATTTATATTGTTTTATTTTGAGACAGGGTCTGACTAAGTTGCTTGGGGCCTTGCTAAATTATGTGAGGCTGGCCTGGAACTTGTGATCCTCCTACCTCAGCTTCCTCGTTTCATGGGATTACAGGCGTGTGCCACCAATATCAGCTGGAACATGTGTTTTTGAGCAATGTGGGCTCTAGGTTAAGTTGGTTATATTTATTTTCCAGTTCATTTCATACTTGTATGAATTTCCATTTTTTATTAATGACCAGATTTAATTAGTCTTATTTTAGACCCTCTTTTTACAGAGTTGTATTAAACATCTAGTACTTCAAAGTCACTTTATAAAGCAGTTTATAGAGTATGGTAATTCAAAAGTATTATTAAATAATTTTGTTGGCTGTTAATTTGTAATATCTAGAGAAGTTTGCAAGTTGTTTTTTTTCTCCTTAAGTAGATGAGGTCATTATGCTATACTTACAGACATGGTAAAAATTCTCAATTGTATAAAGCAAATACAAAGTATGTTGATTTGGACATATAAATAAGAATATTTATTGTCTTTGTGGTGTTTTGTTTTTGTGGTATTAGAGATTGCTTTATTCCCAACCGATATACACAGCCCTTTTTATATTTTTTTCTTTTTTTTTAATTTTTATTTAATTTTTTTTAGTCATACATGACAGTAGAATGCATTTTGATATATAATACATACATGGAATGTACATACATCAATTATATTGTCTATTCTATTCTGCTGCCCTTCCCATCCTCCCTACTTATATTTTATTTTGATACATTGCTTTACTCAGTTGCTGAGATTGGCCTCAAATTTGGCAGTCTTCTGCCTCAAACTCCCAAGTAGCTTGGATTATGGGCAGGTACCACTGAGCTCAGCTGATTATCTCCTTTTTAACAAAAACAAACAAGTGCTTAAAAATGTTAAGTAACATTTCCAAGGTAAGAGATCTAGCAAGCACAGGCCAAGTCTGAACTGGGACATCTTAATTCCCAGACTTGTGCTTTTAACTACCAGTTGATATTGCATCCCAGGTGAGCATACACAAAACAAAAGCTTGCCTCTCTGTGAAATTCAGTGGTCTGATATAATTTTTGGAAACAAATTTAAGTGATCTCTATTTTAACTCATTACTGTTTCTCTTGGAAGGAAAAAATAGCAACTTGAGAATTATTCAGGCTTTTTGTATTGAAATGTTACAGAATTCAGTCCTTGGCAGTAATTAGCGCTCTGTAAAGGTTTGTTAAATAAAGTAATGAATGGAAAAATCCCTAAAGTTAATAAAGAGTTTTGTCTCACATAAATAAAGTATTGAGATTATTAAGAAGATGCTAGAAATGACACAGATTAGGAAGTATAAAAATATATCTAATTTGATAAAAGGATGTTTGTTTTACATATTTCATGAGAATACTACTTGAGATATATGTTTATGTGAACACTATTCTTGTTACAACTTCTTTGTCACTTTCTGAGCATGATACCATCTTTTGTTTTTAATTGTTCAGTGAAGCTTCCAGTATTTTTTTTGTTGGAATAATTTCCAAATTTCTCTCCATTGTTTAGGTCTTTTATTTATACATAGAGGGAATAATCTTTTCTTCAGCTAATTTTCATATGAAAGTAATGTACGGATTTTTATTTATATATGCCTTTGTTTAATGTTTTCCAAACAATATTCCTTAAAAAGGCATAAATTAAACAAAAGCTAATACTTATAGAAGAGAATGATAATACTCAAACTTTTTTAAAAATTTGCTCTCTAAAATGGCATATCATCCTTCAACTTCAAAACCCTTTCATATAATCAAGTTCTAAGAATTTCAAATGAAAGTGTTCTTTTTGAGACCAACTGCTCTAAGAACTTTTCTAGATTCAAGGAAGTCACCAATATTTAACATAAGGTAGTTGAATAATTCAAAAAGGATTTGCAAAAAAACAGCTGGATGTTTATATCTGATGGCTTGCTTTCAGGAGGAACTGCATCATAATCTTCTGGGTAGCAGATCTACCAAGCTTGCTTAGATTGGATACTCATTTTCCTCCATAATTCTCATATATCTTAAAAGTAACATGTATTATCAGCATTTAGAAATGCACTATAATTTAAGGATTTTCAAAGTCATTTTGTATTTATAATTTTGAACACATTAGGTTAGTAGAATCAAAGTAAAATTTAGTTTCCAAAGAATAGCATTTTGGTTTAATTTATAGTTAATTATGAACATGTTTTATGTGAATTTTATATTATTATGACCTTTCCTAAGTGAGTATTTAATATGCTAGAATTTTATTTTCACCTTTTGAAACCGTGAGTCTGTTGTAATATTTTATCTGTAAATCCTTAGTCTCAAGATTTTAGTACTTTTTCTACTGTAAAAATTAGCTCGTATATTTTTGTATGACTTTCTCATACACATGGACAGACACACCCAGAAGTCTTAGTAACATTTTATTTGGTAAATTCACCCACTTAAAGTTAATCCAGTTTTTTTAGTATATCTACAGTTGCCCAATCATTGCCACAATTTATTCTTCACTCCAAAAAGAAATCATGTACCCGTTAGCAGTTACTTTTCATTTACTTATTTTCTCCAGCCCCTGGCAATCTCTAACTTACTTTCTGTTTATATAGATATGCCTATTCCGGACATTTCATATGAATGGGATCATATGATAGTGGTCTCTTAAGACTGGCTTCTTTGTCTTAGCATAATGTTTTCAAGGTTTATCCAATATTGTAGCATGTATCATTGTTTTCTTTTATTGCTAAGTAATGCTCTGTTGGATAGATATATCACATTTTGTTTAACCATTCATCAAATGATGGACATTTGAACTGTTTCTGTTTTAGGGCAGGTATTACTAATGCTGTATGAACATTTGTACACAAGATTTGTGTGTGTGTGTGTGTGTGTGTGTGTGTGTGTGTGTGTGTGTATAGATATGTGGTTTTAATTTCTCTTGGGTATTGATGATGATTGTGTTTATAATCTTTTGAAGAACTTCCAGATTGTTTTTCAAAGGGTCATTTTATAGTTCCACTAGCAATCTGTGAAGGTTTCATTTTCTCCATTCTGTGGCCAATACTTATTTTTTATTGTAACCATAGTAGTGGGTATGAAGTAATATTTCCTTGTCTTAGTTCATTTTCTGTCAGTATAACAAAATACCAAAGAATAGGGATTTCATAATGAATAGAGGTTTGTTTAGCTTACAGTTTTATAGGCAGAAATTCCAAGATCTGGCACCCCCATCTGTTTGGCCTCTGGTGAGGACCTTGTGGCAGATGTCATCACAGTTGTGGAAGCATGTGCCGAAAAGACCACGTGATGAGATAAGAAGCCAGAAAGATTCAGGGGCCAGGTTTACTCTTTGTTGTTGTTGTTGTTGTAATTATAGATGGACAGCATGCTTTATTTTGTTTATTTTTATGTGGTGCTAAGGATTGAAACCAGTGCCTCACAATTGCTAGGCAAGCATTCTGCCACTGAGCTACAGCCCCACCCTACCCCCCAGGTTTACTCTTTTTTATAACAACTTGTTCTCATGGGAATTAACCAGGGTTCCTTAAGAACTATGTTAATCTTTTCCAAGGGCAGCATCCTAATGATCACATTAGATCACACCTCTTTAAAACTTTTGCCACTGTTTAGCATCACCCTACGAAGACCAGATGTCCCACATGTGAACCTTTGGGGGAGACACACCATAACCAAACCTTAGCACTCAAGGTGGTAGAAACATCTTTTAAGTGGTTCTGCTATATTATTACTCATCTTTGGGAAGTTTAATTGACACAGAGGCTTTTAATTATTAGTTGATAGATTATTGTTTATTTATTGATTGTTTTGGGTGCCATGAAATCATAAGTATATTCCTCAGTGTTAAAAATCCTACTGTTCTTAAGTTTAAATCTTCCATCTTTTTTCAGCTATGATTCTGAATGAGCGTTATATCTGTTTCTTTGACTATACTATGAGGATAATAATAATACATCTTTTATAGGATTTTAATTGGTATTGATAATTCATACTAACAATTCATAGAGGTTACATTCTTTCATGTTTATTGCTTTTATATAATTCATATTAAGAACTCAATGGATTTAGTTGCTTTTATTAATGTTACAGTAGCTATTGGTATTACTATATTATTTTGTACTGTAAGAAGGAAAATGCATGCATTTTCTATTTGTTTTATATATTGATGGATTCTTCCAAAGGAAGCTTGTTTACTTAAAGTAGTACCCAGTGTTCTTTCTGCAGTATTAGACTGGCTCTGCTGCATGGCAGTGTCATTTTCATAGGGACACTGAAATACTCTGTATATGTCCTGGCAAATAGAATTCCTCTCCTGGATGTAGTAGTTGTAAAGGTAGGGAATAATCTGTTATTCTGTAGGAGTGGAATTTGTGGTATGTTACAGGTTTCTCTGTTCTGACCGAATTTTTCAGTGAAATCACTTCATGCGCAGACACAGATGCACTGTTTTCCTCCTGTGGTCATTTTGTGTAAAGTTACCATTTAAGGATTATATTTGTAAGGATGCTGTTTATTGATACTTGGAAAAGCCAAAAGACTAATACTGCACTCTCAAAAACTATCTTTGCAAATCTAAATTCTAGACATTTTAGGTCCAAGTATTTCAGTTTACCTCTGCCCCATTTTCATGGGTAAAGAAGAGAAGAAAGCAGAGAGGTTTGGTGGC